ATGTGCATTTAGAAGTTGAAAATTCTATAACTGTTGTGCCGTTAGTTTGGATTGCGTGAGAATCGAACATTTTTGACTTCATATTATGCATCATGTCTAGAAAGGGGTAGTAACAAGAGAAAAATCAACAGTAGACTGGTAGTGTATTAAAAATGTTTGTGTGCTACATTTTTATTTTTTTCAATACTTACCATGATTATTAAAGTATTTTTTGCCATTTCAAATCAAAATAATTGAAATTTTTTTTTATAAAGCTATTTGTTATTACAATTATTTTTTTTTATTTAAAAAATTCTGAAAACACTTGTTACAGGAAACTTGAAAAATATTTATTACACATTTAGGGCCATCCATAAAGGACGTCACCATTTTTTAGTCAATTTTTGACCCCCTCCCCCCCCCCCCTTTGTCACCGGTTGTCCTTTTTCCCTATACCCCCTTGAAAAGGACGTCATAAAATCCTGAACCCCCCCCCCTATTTTTAACTCCAAAAAAATTTATTTTATCTCGCAATGATGTTTGAATCTGCTGCTACACCTTTGAAAAATAAAATTAAAAATATTCTCATACATTATCTTCTTAAAACACATGTTTACGTAGTTTTCCATGTTAATTAAACTAAAATAAAAAATCTATAAAGTGACGTCCTTTTCTGACAACCTCTCCCCCTCCCCTTGTCCTTTTTTGTCCTTTTTAACTCGACACCCTCCCCCCCCCTCCTATTTGGATGACGTCCTTTATGGATGGCCCCTTTGACTCATCTACATTAAAGCCAGAAAATGAATATCTTTTAAGACTTGTGAAAAAATGTTGTACCAAATATCTGAGGTGATAATGATTTTAGTTTACACATCATTACTTGTAGCCAAGAATATGACTAGTAACGATGAATTTTGTTTCTAATTTAACATACAATTTAAGAAGTATTTTAATTGCATGATAGCATGTTTGTTTTATTTGTTTGATAAGAACATGTTACATAGCTACAACTGAAAGTTGATTAACCCTTGCTATGAAGCCCTAGCAATTAAGATTGTACTTAAAGGCTATAGCTTTTATTTTATTTATAAAAAAAATTTCAATCATAAATCAGTTTAAAAAAAAATAAAATACATCGTTACTAGGAGCCCTAGAACTGTATAGCAACAGCAATAATTAACAACTTTTTGATTGAATAACCATTTAAGGTGGTTAAATCCCCTATTAAAAATTTTGCTTTAAAATAATCAAAGCAAAGTTAAAAAAACCATGACACAAGTTAAAACAAATATGCTAATATTTTTTTGAATAAGAAATCTTGGTTATCCAACTTTTGCCTCACTTAATTCACAAAAACTACGTATAATCAAAAACAAAATATTTCTAAAACTAAAATTTCAAAAACATTTCTATAAATTATTTAGTTCTGAAATTTTCACATTATTTTCCTAAATCAAAGGTTATGAACCAACCAAATAATAACAAAAGCACCCTGAAAGTTTCAAGTCACTATTTGGTCCCAAACTGAAAATATCATGTTTTGAAGATTGAACATTTGTTAAAAATTACACTTTGAGAAAAACACAAAAAATAAACTAAAAATTTGTTATATAATAACAATAAAAATAAACAAGAGCCCATTAAAAACTTCCGCTATTATATTGTGGGTCTGTTTTTTTTCAATATTTATATAATTTTTTAAGGCTGTCTTAGTGGTAAGTCTAATTTAGTTTAGTACGTTATTTTTCTTGTCATTATATTACACTACCACAAAGAATAACTAATTCTAGTTTATTAGCAAAATTTGTGCCTTTCTGACTCATTGCTTATGACACTGTTGTGTCAGTTTTATTTTAATGATTTTTAGTGTTTATTACAAGAAAACTTTCTCATTTTAGATCAAGCAATTGAACGTCCCATTTTTTGTTTATTTATAGATATCGATAGATAAGAGCATTGCAATATAAATAAATATACATTTATCTACTTATCTAATAATAAAATAAATATACATTTATCTAATAAGAAGAACTTATTACCTGCAAGCACGACAACACATCTGATGCATGTTCACAATTGTAACAATGGTTCAAAGGTTTTTATAGCCTTTAAAGTAAACATAAAACATATAATAAATAAGATACTGTAGCAGAAATAAGTTATTGCTGTTTGGAAGCTTGAGCAAGTTGAAATTTTTTGTTTGAAAGTGCGTTGCTATGGCGTTGTTAAGGATATCAAAAGCGTAATATCGCCAAAAAGCATATATTTTTACGTGGGGGAAAACGGGGCAACATGGCGAACGTTTTGAAAGTCTTGAGTTATTGCAAAACTATCAGTCGTGAAGCAATAATACTTACTTAATATGTTTATGTTATTAAAATGATTCATTGTGTATTTGAATTTTCAGTTTGCAAATATAACAATTTAAAATAAATATTAAAAAAAAAACTTCATGAATTTGTCATCTGGTCACGTGACCGTGGCAAGATGACTTATTATGCAATTGTTGTCTCTAATTTTATAAGATTTTAAAAACTACCAATAACTCTAATTAAAGTAGCACAAAATCAGTTTAGTTTTCACCCAACTTTAAGATTTTTTGTTGAACTGTTATACAAAAACCCATCTTGCCCCATTCGCCATGTTGCCCCGCTTCCCCCTACTTATTTACTTAATTGAAAAAAATGATCTATAAGAAATTTTGAGTTAAAAATAACAATCTTTTAAAATTTGATTTTTCTAAAAAACTTCTTAAATTCATAAAATAATTTTTTTCCGGTTGCCTTAATATTAACCCAATGTAAAATGCACTGCTGCTATGCGTTTTAAGTGTTCTCAGTAACTAAATTAACAATCAGTAACTAGATTAACAATCTAGTAGTGTCGTTTTAAAAATAATATAAAAAGTAATTAATCTGGTAATTATGGAAAAAAAAACCTGATAAATTTTTTACAAGTTATTATTTTTTTCTAACTAAAATAATTTTTTACAATTGCTAGAGATATTTGAAATCAAAAACAATTTTCAGTTTTATATTTGAAAATTTTTAATTTTGACGTCAAATTGAAGTTTTATCTATATACTTTATAAGATGTAAAAAGAAAGACAACCGACTAGATGCATCCAACAATTTATAAAAACACCATTTTTAAAAACACTTAAATAGTCCTAAACTAAATGTGTTTATAGCGTTATATTAAAAAAAAAAAAAAAAAAAAAACATTTTTTGGTATATAGTATTTTTTTTTTTTTTTTAGTATATAGCCTTTTTTTTCAGATTATTTAGATTTTTTTTTGTATTATATAAACATATGAGACAACCAACCCCGTGGGTGGAGTTGTTTGTCACACGGAAGAGGTCTTTTATAAATGATTTTACAGCAAAAAATATTTCACTCAATGTCATAAAAATATTGTAATATTTACCGGAAATAGTTAAATTACTTTCGATATTAATTTGTTGAAAAATAAGAGCTGAGCAGTCTAAAATGTAAAAAGTGTGACAACCAACCCCGCTCTCCCCTATATAATAAAAATGGGAATAAAATTACAAACAATGTCAGGGGCATTTTATGTTAGTTTACAGTTCCGACTTAACGAAAAGAAATGTAATAATTTTTCAGAGGAAAACAAAACAGTAAGGGACTCGATGTAGTTAAGGACGCTTTTTACGGAATTTTTACAAAAAGTTTATTATCTTTAAATCTCTGCAATATCGCTAATTTTTATAATATTATTACCGTAAAATCATTAAGAAAAAATATAAAAAAAGCATGCAAAACTCAAATTTTACAAACTTTTTTTTCTCAAATAGTATTTATAACTAGTTCGTAAATGTGAATCTATAAAATATGCAGCCGTGGCGCAGTGTTTAGAGCGCTTGCTTTAGAAGCAGGAGATCCAGGTTCGAAACGAACTCTGGATCTTTGGACATATTTTCGCGTCACGGTAAGGAAGGAGGCGTGAACTTCCTAGTTAAATGAATTTCCGTAGTGCTCTGTGACAAGACCGTTAGGTCTTCTTAAGGCACCTAATAAAAAAAATAAAAAATAATAATATTTATATGCAACCTGGAATAGTTCTTTAGCAAAACAACAATTTGAAAAAATGCATACTATTAAAATCTAAAATAAGCAAATTATTAAAAATGATCATATTTAGTCTTTGTATTATTAAGAATCACCAAATTAATTATATTTAAAAAAAAAATTGTTAATTTTTGAAAATTAAATACTTTTTTTTAATAAAAATTAGTGAAATTTTGAAAATTAAATACTTTTTTTTAATAAAAATTAGTGAAATTTTGAAATACTCTAACTTCGGTCGTTCACGAATAAACAACGAAGGAGACAATTAGCTATTATTGTGAAATGTTGATAAGTGTTGCGATTGTAAAATTTACCGGTGTAAATTTACAAGTAAATTTTGACATTTTTATTATGGATATACACCATGGTATTTTATTTGAATAAAAAATTTGATCATAATTTCCAAATTAACTTACGGTTCTTTAAGTTCTAAGAAATATCATTCTTGTGACATTTTACTGTATTTTTAAATATATCATTCTTGTGACATTTTACTGTATTTAAAGTTTTACTTTTCGATTTTTTATCGCGCATAAAATTTTTGTATTTTACTAATCTATCCTTAAGAACATCAAATAGAACAGCAGAGCATTATAACAAGCAAAGCAATTATAATTTTTAAATATCATTAATATATATTAATTTATAAAAACCAATACTTAGTAACCAATATTTAGTAATATTAAAACAAACAGTTATGTCAAAGTAACCAACTATGATAAGTATATAACATAATAAACAACAATAGTAAATATGTAATAAAAAAATCAAAAGCAAATACATAAAATAATCTTAAAATTAAAATAGTAAACTTAGCATGAAAAAGCTTTATCGAACCCTGGATTTTAGTTTAAAAAAACGAAATAACTCGGGGGGTTATATAATCGACAAACGCTTTAAATTGAATTGATTAGTGCAACTTTGCGCGAATCTGTTTTCATATGAGGCACAAGATACAAAAAGGTACGAGGTCTTCGTAATAGAATTGTACTGGAGTTTTTTATCGCGGCTATAATTAAGCAAGAAAATTGCTAATTAATAAAAAGCTTTGATATAATGATTGCTTATATAACAACTTGGGTTTTAGTAGTCTTGAAACAAAACTCATCATCGTAAAATGTATTAAAGAAAAATACTCATTTACCAATATTTCGTGTTGATAATGTAGAACGTGATAAAGGTAAAGGGTAGCGAAACATGATTTATAGCGAAACACGATTTTTAAAACATGCACAATTTAAAGAAGTTTTAAAATGGAAATTTAAAAATGTTACTTTCCATAAAGCAAAGTTATTCTCGAACTAGAAATAGGATTCTTTTCATTTTTGTATTTTGTTCCTCATTGCATACTTTTTAAAGTTAACTCAAAACATAGAATTTACTTTATTAAATATATGTGTTTGTGTATGTGCTGGCAATAAATATATTATATAATATATTCATTGGCAACATAAATACATAATACAATATATATTATGTATATTATATATATATATATATATATATATATATATATATATATATATATATATATATATATATATATATATATGCATGTATGAAGGTTAGATTAATGTTTTTAAAATTAAATGAAACACGTATTCACATTGTTTATTATACTATTGTTATAATATTCTATCCTTATTTATAAATACTTTTATAAATTGTGAAGATGATTGGAGTTGCATTTTTTTTGTAGGAAATGTTTTTTACAAAATAAGCAAGTTATAAAATAGCAAAATTTAGAACATTGTAATGGGTGGAGATATGGAATTAGTTCGCCAATTCAATAATGAGGTATGGAATGAAAATTTTGTATTTTTTTTACACAAATCATTTTTTTGCTAATACAATAAATTAATGATAATTTTTCAAATCAATTAGTTTGTTCTATTTGTCTGCTGCATTTGAATTGTATGCAAGTTGTTTATATCATTTTTATTTGACATTTTTATATGACTTGATATTATTCATATAATACATTTTATATATTATATTCATTTCAGTTGAGTTGTATTTTATTTACGTAAACAAAAAAAGTAAAAATGTGACTAATAATATTTAAGATTAAAAAATGCTTTACAAAATATTACTGCATAATTATGAAACATCATGATTAGCAAAAGAAAAATGTTTTATTATGTCTAATAATAAGAATCAGTTTTTTAGAATATCTAAAACTTTTATATTTTTTTGTTTTAATATATTCAAACCTGATAAGTAAAATTTTTTTTTGTGACTGAATTTTTTCCAACAAACTCATGTAATGTTGGTAAATAGCTTGTAAATAAAGTTTCTAAATAAAGCCTTTTAGCACTTTGTTTTCTATTATTTCAATTCTTGTCTCAATGGGACAAAATGCTTGTAGTTTATGGCATTTCATAATTAAAAAAGCATGATAAAAATGAGGAATAAAAGTATAAATACTATTATTTTGATAAACTCTCCTTAAATTTTAGGTTTCACGTTTTTAATGTAACGTTGATCAAAGTTTTATTAATTTCTTAATTTATGCAGACTCTTGTTCAAAAATACTTTTAACAGGGATTATTTTTTTCTGGATATTTCCAGAATTCCTGATATTTTTCTCAACTTTTAGTTTTTTTGGATATCAAAAATGTTTTCCATACATACAAGTTTAGGTATATATGTTTGTAATATATTTGTTTTTTAAGCTTTTTCACTTATTACTCATGCAAAAACTAAGAAAAGTTAAAAAATTAAAAACAACTTAGCTAAAAACAAAATTAGAAGGAGTATAAGGGAAAATATATTCCAGATTTTTCCAGATATTTTACACTAATGATTTTCCGAATTTTTAAAATATGACCTGGATGATCTATATTTTAAAACAAAAGGACTTTTTATTTACTTTTTAATACACAATATGCGTATATATGTACATAAAATACAACTCAACCATTCATTTTTTTATTACTGGATTTAAAAATGAAATTGGGAACAGTATGTTCCATATTAATTATCTTTGCATATATTTTGTCAGCATTGTAGTAATAATATTAAAGACAAAAAGGCTTTTCAGTTTTTTTTTTTAAATGTCTTTTAATTGGTTTTTATTTTAAAATCAATCATTTAGAAAATCTTTTTTTTTAATTACACAACTGTTTTTATTGTCGTCATTATTAAAATTTTTTTCAATTTAGTTAAATATTTTAATAATTATATATTTTTTTTAAATAAAAAATCTTTGAGACAACTTTTTAAATGTACATACATTGACTGACAAATAGGGATTGGCACAATTAAATGTATATACATACATCAACTGACAAATAGGAATTGGCGCAAGTAAATGTACATGCATCGATTGACAAAAAGGGATTGGTGCAATCAAATGTGCATGGTTAGGGTCAGGGTTAGGCTTTGTGTCAGAATCAATTAGAAACTAATTGGTTTTGTTTTAAATAGTTTTTCTTTAAAGTGCTCATAAAAACCGGGCTGTTTTTAAGTTAACTAAGAAAAAGAATCTAATCATATTTGAATATGAAGAAAATAACGAATATTAGCGTTTTTAGTGTAATTTTTTAAACTTCAACATCAAATTAGAGTGCTTTCTTCAAACTTTAAGGTCAATATTTTTGTATGATTCTTAATCAGCATGAAATTCTCTATGGAAATCAATCATAAAATCATAGGGGAAACTGTAACAGTGCTGACAAAAAAAAAAGTTATTAAACATAAGTTTATTTAAGACATGATAATGCAATAAATAAATAAAAAAGTTTATTAACAGCCTTGTTGATAAATTTTTACAAAAAAAAAAAAGTAGTATGTATATTTTAAAATAGATTTGTTATCAGTTTTTATTGATTTATTTAAAATAGAATTTTAGTAGTTTGAATATAGTATGACACAGCTATTTTTCAGTTATGATATTTTCTTATTGTTTATAATTACCTGAATTTCAATCAAATAGTTTAAAAAAAAGTAGTGGAGTTTTTAACAGTTTAGTTGAAATTTATAGGAAAATATTAGTTCAATTTCTAATTAAATTTCTATTCGATGTTGTTCATTTAAATTAAAAAACAGTTCAAGCTACAAAATCACTATCAGTAATGAATCAGAAAGATCAATTGTGCAATAGATTTCAAGATCCTTTATTAAATATTAATTAAGTAATTGGCATAATTGCTTTGAAGAACTATTAGAATTAAAAATAGTTAAAATGTATATCTTTGTCGACTAAAGTTAATGTTTAAATCAATTGAAAAAGTGGTTTGAAAAAATAAACAATTTAGTTTTTTGTGCTGTGTGCAATCGATATTGGGACACAGTGCAAATCTAGCTCTCTGGACCCATAAAATACGGGTCTTTACCAAATCCACACCATCTATACCTATTATTTTACCTATTCCACGTCATTTCTATACCCATTATTTGTTTACTATAATATTTTTAAGGAAAATAATTCATTTTTAAAATTGCTCTAAGAGCAAAAAAATTAACATGCACACCCTTTCAGCATACCTAGAGCTTATAAGAGATCTTTAATTAGGCTTGTTTTTCTCTTAACCGCATATCATTGATAGCTCAGTGGTTTAGTGCGCTGTCATCAGTGTCGTTTTAGGGCATTAAAGACAATTACAGCAAGATTGAAATTTTTCGATTTTGCTGTATTTATAGCAAAAATTTCATAATAATATATATCTATAATAATTATAGCAATATTTATAGCAAAAAAATATTAATATAGCAAAAAAGATTTCTAATTGTTAAAATAAAATTCAAAAATTTTCTCATTTTTATAAATTTATTATACCTGATTGTTCCATATACTGCCTGCAAACTTAACATATGCTAAAGACGTTTACACTTACAGGCGTTTGTATGCAACGCTATTCAAATAGCAGAACTAAGAAGATCTTAGACCATTAAAAACTATAGACTTTAAAATACTAAGAGATTGTCCATAAATAACGCAACGCTAAATTTATTTTTAAAAAAGAAGGATGATCTTCAGTTCTTTTAGGTGGCAATTTATTAATGCGGTAGTGGTGTAGTGGTAGAGCGCTCGCTTCATAAACGAGTGGTTCCGAGTTCGATCCCCACCACGTCCCTGGTAGTACCACGCTCAACTCTTTTCTCCGCGCAGCGGCCTTGTTCGTCAAGGTTCGTGTTTCGGAGTTATAGAGTTGAGAGAGGGTTATAGCCACGAATAAGTAGCCTCCTCGTCTGTAGTGGCCTTCTCGGCCTTGAGGAGGTGAATTAAAATAAAAAAAAAAAAAAAAAAAAAAAAAATTTTCATTAAACTTAATGAGCTATTTTGATTTTTTATTTAACATACAACTCTGCAAGTAAAAATTTTGATCTTTTTTGTTTTGTTTATAAGTGAAATTTAGCGTTACATAATTTATGGACGATTCTTTATTTGAAAGTTAGGATTAGGGATCAGCCAAAAAGTAAATAAAGCCAAAAAATAATGGAGTATAATACTATTTTGATAGTTATCTAAATTCTGTCGTTGTTGCGCACTCTGTTTAGAATGTTTAACAGGTGCATTGTAAAGTAGCTGTAAAACTCTAAATTTCCTTATTGTATTAATATTAAATAAGTTTAAATCATCAGTTGTTTTATATTTTATATCATCAGTTGTTTTATATTTTATTTATAATGCAGAACAAAACAACTTTACAGTTCTGTAGATTTTATATTCTATTTGTAAAACTAAAATAATATAAGTATCTCAATCATGACACATACACAACAAATATCCCCCCGTTTTTTAATGTTTTTAGAATTTTTAGCTTTTTTAAAAATTTTTTTGTTTGTTAAATTGTATAATATCGTTAGATATGTTTGTTTATAATCTTTATAAAACTTCACAAGTATTTTTTATTTAATAAAATCTAAAAAATTTTAAAAAAAAGTTGCCGGTGGTTGGACTTAAGGAGTTGACGCAATGCAGTTTTTAAGTGAATGTCAACCTGTAAAACTTGATATATGTTTAAGTATGTTTTAACATTACACAATATGAAGTTTATGTATGTACGATATAGGTTTCACATTCGCTCACGTTTTCTTATAAAGCAAAGTTGTGACTCTTTCTCGCCAATACCTATTAAAACTATTAAGTCCAGCAATAATATATAGAGATTATCTCTATCTTGATACACTTAACTATTGTTCTTCCATTTTATTATTCAACCAACACGTATAACCTTTAGGTTTAAAACCTTATTGATAACATCTTTTTCAATTTCACCCATTCTAATTTCAGATTCTTAAAATTTCAGATCACACTACACAATTTAAAAATTTAAATTGTGTAGTGTGATCTATAACTCCAAAACACAAACCTTGACGAACAAGGCCACTGAGGGGAGAAACAAGTTGAGCGTGGCACTACCAGAGATGTGGTGGGGATTGAACTCAGAACCTCTCGCTAATGAAGCGAGTGTTTTACCACTACACCACTACCACATGAAATGCTAAAAACAAACTTTACAACTTTTAAAAAATATTTATAAAAAGAAATCAATTTGAAGAGTTTGAAATGACCTCTTTAAACCACTGCCAAGCTTCCTCTCAGCATGACAAGTCATTTAAAAATGTTCAATCACAGTATAGATAATACTTGTTAAGCATCTTGGATTTGTCTTTGGGCATGGTGCCATTCATGGCCAGGTCAACAATTTGTTAATTTTTACTACTCATTTTTAGTTTTTGGCTATTTATTTGGTTTATTTTTATTTTCAAAGTTTTATGTAGCGACAAAAACAAACTATGTACATAAAAATACAAACAGAGCATTTATTTTGAAATACTAAACTTATTACAAAATTTGTGGTCACATACGGAAATAAAAATAAATTTAAATGGAAAAAAATTTAAAAAATTGCTATCTGTTTGTAAAATATGTTTTTATTATTTTAATATAACAAGTATATATTGTCCCTATATGAACATGTCTATCTAATGCATGTATATATGTTTTTATACATTTAAATGTTGGTTTGTTCAAGTATGCATATATAAGTATCTACCTCAAAGGCTTTACATTCTTCATCAATTTTTCAATTATATAATTATATTTATTTGTTATTAGCACACTTTTAGCTTATTTGGATAAGGCATTTACTTTAGACATGGAATGGCCACGGTTCAAATCAAAGCACTATCCTATTTTTTATTGTTTTTCTTTTAATTCCTGCTGCTCATATTTTTGGTTTGTAACCATTTATCTTTTCTTTTTTTTTATATATAAAATATATTTCTGTATTATGTTTTTGAATGATACAGAGCTCTTCATATTCAGATTTCTTATACCATTTAAGCTTCTGAGCTTATTTTCTTTTTTTTCTTCTGAGCTTATTTTCTTTTAAGGTGCACAAACATATATACATAGTTTTTAGGCTTTAATTATGCCATGCTGTCTACACATTTTTTACATAACCCAAATTGTTTCATATTAAAGCTATAAAAAATCTCTATTTTCATGGCTGTGACCAAGATGTCTAAATAAAAAACTTTTTCATTTCCTTGAAAGGCTTGTAGATCAAGTTTTTTTTATAACATTTTTTTAATGACCTCAATGTGTCTATTATGCTTTTTAAACTACAGAAAAAAAGAGAAAAAAAAAGTGATGTTATGATCTATGTAGATCTATCCAGAACCAGATTGTGATCTCACTGTTCTCCCAATTGACTCCCAGGTTGAAACTCTCCCCACTCCTGATTTTTTGCATTTAATTAATCATATGCATTAGTAAATACAATTTAAGTTGTCAGAAAAATCTGAACTAAGTGCTTTTTCAAAATTAAAACAATTTTTTGCTTTTTTTTTCCTTAGTTTGATTAAAGTTAGCCGTTCAAAATAAACCATTAATATGTATTAATTCCATTTACAAAAAACACATAACAAATAGATATACAAAACAAATTATATTAATGCTACTGATTGTTTAAATTAGAATATATTGCAGTAGATTTTAGCTTTTCTTCATAACTTTTGTGTCCTATAGTTCTTTTTTAGTTTACCTAATTTTTTTTTAATTTGTGGTGAACAGCTTCACCACATTGTTCAGCATAGTTTTATTAATAATAAAAAAAAACAATAAGATGACTAATTATTTCGGTTTTTCAGCGCGTTTTTATAATGCATCATTTTAAATATATGCAAAAGAATCGTGGCCAAGTTATCAACAAAAAAATGTCTATGCATGGTCATTTAAGGCGTGCGACCGCACGGGCCTCCTGAGAAAGCCTGTTCTACAGAGTTGATTTTTTTCAAGCACGTTTTATTACTAAGGGTTTTAGTACATGACATTATTAATTTTTTTCCATCCATGAATGTAATCAAACTTTGATTAAACGAACTTTTAAAAAACATTTAAACTAATTGCGCACGTGCTCTTTTCAAAGAGCAAAAGAAAAGTTTTTTGTAATTAAACTTTAAATGAATGATAATTGAAAGATAAAATAGTTATTCTTTAAAATAAAAATGTATCATTATATTTAAAATATATATAATAATATAACAATAAAATGTTTTCTATTATAGAGCTTATTACAAAACTTTATTTGTATATTAAAATTTGTATTATATTTTTTAAAGAGGACGTTTTCAGCAAACGTTTTAATGAAGTTAAATAAAAAAAAGTTTATTATTTAATTAAAAGTGTTTGATAAATAAACGTTTAACATAAAAAATTTTAAATTTTTTATATTAAATGTTATTATATGTTATTATTAATGTTATTATATGTTATAATTTATAAATTGTTTAAATTTTTATAATTTAATTTTGTAAAAATGTTTGCTAATTAATAGCAGTTATGACTTCAAAACTTTCATATATTCTTTATAAAAAGTGAAAACCGGCGTTCTAATTTAAACAGATTGATGTAAGTTAATAAAAAAAAAGGAAAATAAACTTCAACAGTTAGACTTTAATGTTGCTTTATTGTTACGTTAGATTAAAAAAAAATTATCAAAAAATATTTTGTTGATAAAAAGTAATAGTAAAAGTAAAGTAAAATTTACCTTTAGCTGCAAAAATGTTGCTTAATGTAGAAATACAAACTGTACAAGTGTACACCACTGACACACACAAAGTAGCAATTCATTCATATTAAAGTACCATAGATTTAGTCTCTAACCAGTCCGAAAGATATGCAGTCTCTCCTTTGTTTAGACTATATAAGTTTCTTCTGTAGTTGAAACAAACTACTCAAGGACAAACTTCAAGATCAGAATTGAAGTTTGGCCCGATGTATTCTTGAAATTTTTCACATACTGAAGGTGTTATAGGTGTTAAAGATTTTGATCTGATACCTTTATTTATCAAGCAAATTGCGCAAGTACATAATTTTAAATCTGATGCCATGTTATAAAGTGATAGTTATATATGGAAAGCAGCCCTAAATAGCCTATTTTGACTACCATAATGGCTGACTTAAACTTACGAAAAAAGAAAAAAGTTACAAGTTTTAGTTTTGAAAATATACATACTTGGCACTTATTTTACTTCAGATTTTTCTGAAAACATAAATTGTGTTTACTAATGCATTTGATTGATTAAATGCAAAAAAATTAAAAGTGAAGAGAGTTTCATCCTTGCGGTCAATTTAGAGATCTTTTCAGTGGCTTTTTTATAATCTCTCAATATTAACAAAACTAAAATTATCTTTAAATGAATTTAAACTTAAACTTAAAAACTTCTAAATTTCAGACTTATTTGACCAAAAATCAACTCTGTTAACTCCATGAAGTATCTTGATATTTAAATGAACACAAATCTTTTTTTTAAATATCTTTTGTTCTTTTTTTTTAAATCATGAGCACATGAGTTACAAGCAAACTTTTTGTTGATATTTTTGATTTTGACAAGTTTCTTGTATGACAACAATATGAAAAATAAAATTATCACATGATTTTCAATTTTTGTCATTTGATATGTAATTAGTCTCCTTAGCAACAAGTTTTGAAAACTCAGTTGAAACTCAATTTAAAGTTAACCTTTGCTGTTGGCAATTAAGATTTAACTGTTTTTTTATATTAAACAAACAAAAGTAAAAATTTCAGTTTTACTAGCAAAATTGTAATCGTGCAAATTTAATTTATGAATGAATGAACTTTTAATCTTTAGCTCACTATTTTATTTTACTTTAGGAAAACAAAAAAATGTAACAAAAACTTTTTCAGAAAGTTTTGTTTCCGTTATTCTTTTTTCGAGTATAAAAATAATAAAAATATTATATTAACTTAGTAAAAGTCTAATATATAATAGTTTTAGTTATTTTTAAACTTTTTTAATTAAAAAAATCGTTTGTAAAAGTAACTTTTATAATTTTTAGTAAGGATTTTTTTAATTAAATATTTAAATTTTTTAAGTTATATTTTTTTAAATCATTAAAACCATAATTATCGTTTTTATTTAAAAAGTTGTTAAAGTTATTGACCTTAAAGCATTGTTAAAGTTATTGACCTTAAAGCATTGTTAAAGTTATTGACCTTAAAGCATTGTTAAAGTTATTGACCTTAAAGCATTGTTAAAGTTATTGACCTTAAAAGTAAAAGTTAAATGAACAGAATTTATATTAAAATAAAAATTAAAATAATATTAAATACACTTATCAAACGCTTATGTTTTGTATTTGAATAGTTATTGTCTATATAATATATAATATTAGACAATTACAATTTAACTACAAGCCATAAGCGTTTAATAAGTGTAATTGCTATTATTTTAATTTTGCAAATACGCTATGTATAAGTATTGGTTAAAAATGTTTAAAAGTATTTTACACATTTAATAACTGCTAAAATTAAAGTTATCAAAATGTAGTTGCTAAATGTTTAAAATACTTAAAACAATTTTCAATAAATATTTACAAATAGGTAATATTTGCAATTTAAAACTTTATTAAAATATTAAATAAAATAGTTTTTCCTAGCGTAACTAAAATACATCCACTATATCTGAATTTGTAATTTCAAAAAAATGTTTTTTACAACGAGATGCTATTTTAAATCAATTCTTTATCTGTTGATAAAACTAAATCAGATAAATACAAACAAATTGGTATTTAAAATTGCAAAGGATGAGGGGGTTGACTACCCCAAGAATATCCCCCCACCACCACCACCAGTATGTCCCTGAAAAAAAATGGTATCCCTAAATAAAGTCTGGATTCGTCACTGCATCGGGTATACATAGGGACATAGGGTAAATGATCAATTAATTGGCTCTAGTAACTTTTTCAACATAAAAATAATTTTCTAATTTTGATAGAGTTTCTTTAAATTTTAATGGCTGATAAACCAGTAAAATCTCACTTTATAACGGTATGTAATTTTGTCTATAAAAATGTTTTTTTTGTTTTTTATTTTTATCTATATATAAAAATAACTGCTTTAGCTTTCTTCAATTTGTGAAAGCAAACCTCCTGTTTCAAAGGCAAAGATGGCTTCAATAACAAGGTTAGCAGTCAAAGCTTTGAAGGTATGTTTAGTAAAACAGTTTTTTTTTTTTAGTTTTTGTTTTTAAATTACTGTATAAATAATTATAATAATTTAATATAAATAACTGTATAATTGTAATAATTGTAATAATTTTAATAATTTTATACAAGCAGAAAGCAACCTGTTATCGGGTTATGGTCGGTCTGTTACATAATTTATTTATAGTGGGTGTAAGCAAGCTGTTTTCCACAATTTAATTTAGAGTTGTTTAACCTTAACTTACACCTTTTTAGGAAAATGCCTTTACATTGAAAGTATCAATTTACCAGTAAAATTAGCATTAAAAGTACGAAGAGGTTATAAAATAATTTACCAGTTAATATTTAACATTATTTGAATAATTTACTGCTGACTTAGGTCATAACAGTGTGAGGCAGAACCATTTTCCTCAACATTCCCATAGTTCAACACAATATGTTATTAGTTGCTGACATGGTTTAAACATAGATGAGTTTTTTCCAGAAATTCACTTAAAACACCTTTAATTTTTCCAGAAATTTCCGGATGTTTTTTAATATTGATTTGAAAAAAAGTTAATACATTTTTACATAAAATTTTACATATGACAACTTTTGCATTTAAACAAATATGTTTTCTATAATTAAAATTTTCACGAGATCAATTTTCATAACAATTTTTTTGCTTTTTAATTCATTCAAACTTTTTCGAATATTAGAAATCCCGTTTTGTAAAAAGTTAATCTAAATTCTGTTTGTTAGTTAAATGCGATCAATTTTTAATAAAATAATTTTCCGGGATTTTCTGGGATTATCATAGGAAAAAAATTTCCGGTATTTTCATAAAGTCAAATACTCATCTATGTTTAAATTGACAAAAATATCAACTAACTTCTTGTAATATTTTTTATACACGAACTTTAATTAATTATTAGGATTAATATGTTAATTTATGTTATACAGGAGTTATTAATTTTTCTTTAAAAAAAAGTTGTTATCTTGAAAACATTAAATGCACACAACTAAATAATTTTATTATAAATAACTAAGCAATTTATTACAAGTATGTTATAAACAAAAAAAAGTTAATTTATAATCAAACATGTGTATTACAAATTAAAAAAAATATGTAAGTTTTGATCTTTTATATTGCATTAATCATTATTATATTACAAATCTAAAATGAAAATTGTAACAGGTAAGTAGACATGAAAAATAAAATAAAATAACTGGAAAACAATTTACCTGCTTTTGGTAACCTGTTGTGATCTTCATTTGCTGCTGTGATGCAGCAGTTCTTGTTGGTGTTGTTCAATGATGTTATTTTATGTTTGATTTTAGTAAACTTTATTTTAATTTAAAAGATATCACAATGGATTTAAAATATTTTAATTAAAAAGCAAAATATAAAATGCTTCAAAGAGCCAAACTATAAACATTAAAGATAAAACATTAAAGATCAATTTGAGATGTAAATAAATTGTATTTGTATAGTTAAATATATTGTCTTGGTTTTTAGTAAATTTTAAAAGCAGTGAGTTCAATAAATGAAACTACCAATTAATTATGTTTAACAATAGAATGTAGCATTATTGTATTATCATAATTGGATAATGAATCAATTTAACTATATTTTGAAATTTAGGTTTAATTGGTGAAAAAACATTTAAAATTTTAATTTAATAAGATAAAAAAAAAATCAAATATACGGCATAAGATATATTAAAAAAAAAAAATTACAAGTTTAAAAAAAAAATTATAAAATTAAAAAAAAACACATAAGAAAAAACGGCAACAAAAAAGTCATAAGTACCTTCACTGGTATAAGACATTTACAACCTTTTAGCTGCTGTTTTTTCTTTGGTGTCTCCCAACACCCTGGTTATGATGAGCCCTCCATTTGAAGGAGGGCTCATCCATACCGCCTTTGCTACACCACTTATTGAAGGACCTCTCTGAGAGAGGCCCCGGGTGTTGGGAACAATAAACTCGCTAGCTCTCAGATGTTAATGAATACAAATAGAAGAATTTTATAAAAATTATACTTATTTTCAATTTTATTTAATCAAAATGTAAAGCGTAACCTCACCATTTTCATTTGTAACAGCTAAAGAAATTAAAAAAAAAATAAGAGTAAATTAAAAAGGATTAAACATGTAAAAAGTTTTATTTTAATAAAAATATAGAGCATAACGCTACTAGTTAAAAAATGTCATATTTATTAAATAATTCTTCCACCTAACGCACATAATTCTTCATTTAAAATATAAAACTCAGCCCTACCAGCTTCTACCAGACACTAAAGACAAAAAAACATACCTCAAAATAATCAATAAATCAATATTAACATATAAGTATATAAAAAAATAATTGTTTTTTTATATACTTATATGTTTCATTTCATTCATAAAGTTGTCTAAAGCAAGAAAAAAATAACTGAATCTAAAACCAAAACTATATACTAAACTAAAACTGTAAACTATAATAAACTTTAAATCTTAATATAAATGCTTTATTTAACTATATTTATATTTTACACAAAAACTAAGTATAAATTATATTTAATCATGTAATTTATACTTAGTTTTTTTTCCAACTCTCCTAGAAGAAAAAATAAAGTAAAGCTAAAGTACTTGAAGTTTTAAAATTCCAGTTACAGTACAAATAAACAAATTCCTATTAACAAATATCTAATAGCTAAAACACTGACTTATTTCATTGTTCACTTCTGTGACTAAAAAATAAAAGCACTTAAATGTATAGGCGTAAAAATATCTATTAAATATATACTAAATGCCACATTTAACTAATGTATCTAATACCTTTACTTTATTACTAGTTCTCTCTTAATACCTTGACTAGTTCTCTCTTAATCAACTAAAGAAATTAAATCTCAATTAAACCTAATATAAATTGATAAAAATCTTATGATTTACTAAGAATTTTAAATTACTTCTCTTTATTATTTACAATATAATTTTAAGTAGGACCTAAGTTCTTAGGCTTATTGTATAAGATTATAAAAATTTATTGTTTTACTAAAGACAACAACAACATTTTAAAAAACATTTCAGTTACATTATAAAAAATACAAATCCTTTTAAACTTACTACCACTCTCCTTATTGTTGTCAACCAAACAGAAAAACAAACAAACAATTAATAGTAAATCTTCAATTTGGCAGTAGGTTATTTAATAGATTAAATAGACCTTTGATCTATTTAATCCACCCTAACAGTCTACTATCTTATTATTAAATTTTAATTATTTTTCTACAACTGAGTGTAATTATAAAATAGATATTTTTTAAAAGATAAATATTGAAAAGTATTTCTTTAAAAAGTAAAAATGCTTTCTAATTTATTTTCTCCAATAATACTGTTGTCATCTAAACATAAAAACAAACATTCAAGTCAATTCTTTCTTAAATCTACTTTAATTACTTCAATAATAAAATAAATATTTAATCTTTCTTTATTGAACTAATTTACATAAAGTTCGTTAAAACCATTTAAATATTGTAAAGCTAATTTAAATTAACAAACAAAACTTAAAAATATTTTGTCCTTCTATACCACCTAGATACATCACATGATAAATCTGAAATAAAAATGTAACAAATAAGTAAATAAAAAAGAAAAATACTATATACAAAAAATGGAAATCAATGTACCTGATAGAGAAAAGCTGTTGTGATTTACTGGAGTAGTAGTTGTTAAATATTATTTCATGTTAGCTTTTAGAAAATAATTTATGCTGGTACATCATGATTCCAAAATATTTACAGCAAAATCATGTAATAAACAGCGCTAAAGACAAAAAATCAAATTGAGATAAAACAAATTGTATATATGGCAAAATAATTTGTCTTGGCTTTTAGTGAATAATTAAAAGCAGTGAGGCCTAATAAGGAAACTACCTTATCATTTTTAACAATAGATACCAATGTGAAGGAAAAGCAACACCACAACAACAGCAAACAACAATAACACACACCATAAGATAATATAATATGCATATAACATTACTTAAGTAACATAACATTTATAATGGAAAATAAGTAGCAATATTAAGCAAAATGTTATTAAAAGACATTATTATGTATTTCCAGAATAATAAAGGCTTGAAAACACCTAGATCTAAAGCAGTAACAGTTCGACACTAAACACTGCCAAGTCACCCTCTGCTATAAGTTCATCACTTGGCTGGCAAGGTTGACAAATCTTGCTCTACACATTTATCACTTTAAATAAATGGAAACAACATAATATAAACATATGTATCAACTATAAATACAATATATATATATATATATATATATATATATAATATATATATATATATATATATATATATATATATATATATTTATATAACCTTATATAAGCATATTTAAATACATTTATAAAATAATTATATAACACATATTACCACATACACAAACAATAAAAAAACATTACATTGTTATAAAAACACATTCATAAAACAGTTATAAAGCACATATTATTATAAACACATACACATGTTTATCAAAAAAGCATATCCCGGTTTTTACATCAATTTAAAACAATCATGACAATTGTTTAAAACAACCATGACATTCATTTAAAACACCGCGACAATCAATTAAAACAATCGTGATTTTCAATTAAAACATTTAACGCATGCGCAATCTCAACATTCTATATTATTTTAAAAAAAAGGTTTTCTTCATATTTTTTTTATTCGATTTTTTAAAAAAATTAAAAAATTTATTTTATTTAAAATATGTTTATTTTTCAATTACTGTCGAGTGTGTGTAATAGTTTGATAAGTTAACATTAGGAATAGATAAGCATGCCTCACGCATTCTTGAAATTAGTTCATTTCTTCCAGCTGGGGCCGTATTTCTTCGCACGTCATTCTTAAGATAAAAAAAAATTTCTTCACACGGATTCAAGAATGGTGAATATGGTGACAAATATTTTATTTGAATGTTCTGAGCCCTCATCTCAACATTATGATGGATTCTGACATTATCCAT